CGGGCTATACGGTCGACGGGACGTTCCAGCAGTACTGTCTCGCGAAGGCGGCGCATGTCACGCCCATCCCCAAGTCGGTGAAGCTGGATGAAAGTGGCGCCAATACTGTGTGCGGGTGTCACGGTCTATAAGGGCCTGAAAGAGAGCGGCGCTAAGCCGGGGCAGGCCGTAGCCATTGTCGGGGCTGGGGGCGGCTTGGGTTCGCTGGCGCAGCAGTATGCTAAGGCGATGGGGTTGCAGACTATTGCTATTGATACAGGAGATGAGAAGAGAGCGCTGTGCGAAAAGCTTGAGGCGAGGGTGAGTGGGAACAATTAAATTTCTCCCCTCCATTAAGAAGAAAATACAATATCATGGAGAAAAATATGGCAAGAGATATAAACTAAGAACCATCATCATCCATCACCTTTTCTCTCGATTGACAGGCCTTCATTGATTTTGCCAAAACCAAAGATCTCGTCGCGGACGTGAAGGCTGCCTCACCGGATGGTCTGGGCCCACACGCCGTACTACTCGTCGCTGCGGCGGAATTGCCCTTCCAGCAGGCGACTGCATATGTGCGGTCCAAGGGCTGCATTGTCGCCATCGGCTTACCGGCCAAGGCACAGCTCAAGGCGCCCGTGTTCGACACGGTAGTGCGGATGGTTACCATCAAGGGCAGCTATGTGGGCAATCGGCTGGACGCGAAGGAAGCGGTTGATTTCTTCACCAGGGGCAAGATCAAGGTGCCGTATAAAACGGTGGAGTTGTCGGAGTTGGGGAATGTCTTCTCGTTAATGAGTAAGTTGTTTGCTTCCTCAATTTCTTCATCCTTTTATTTCTTTATATGCGAGAGCGCCCTTTTGAGTTTGTTCCTCTCCTGTACAAAACTCTACGACGTAGTCAGATGCTAATAAATATATTAACCCTCATTTACAGAACAAGGAAAAGTCGCCGGACGCTATGTCCTCAAGATGCCAGAGTAGAACGAGAAACAACTCAGACGGGACCCATAGCTATATTTACTTCTTTTAGGGGTATGAGCGTCAAATATCAGATGGGAAGTGGGGATGATTCTGGCTTTCTGTTTGTCGGGCGAGTGGGTTTGCTTAGTTTTAACTAGGTGATTCTTTTAAGCACAATGAAAGGGTGAAAAAGGGGAAAGGAGAAGAATCAAGTCAAATTACAACTACGAAAAAGCGAAGCAGTAATCAACGTAGCAAAACGACGCTAAATGGCTGGGAGCAAGCAAGTGAGTGGAAAGATGTGGGGGAAGAATGTGATATAGTTACATGTACTTGGAATGTTCCTTATTTGAATTGCCAGGAATTTGCTCATTCTCGCTTGCTTCGTGCTGCACATTTCGTAGAAAGGTACTTACTATAACACTCGATATATAGCTTGAATATGGTTGGCGCAGTCACCAGCAACTCTTCAGGGGCCTCCATATCCCATTGACGGTGGACATGGTTCCGACATGATTGAAATAGCTAGCCGCTCCTTGAAAAACGTAAAATAAAAAAATAAATAGATTTTTTAGGCTCCATCCTCGACTAACCCTAACTTTAAGATCGGCTAAACATTGAAGCTTGGAACCATGCTCAACTGCAACACAGGAGGATATCGTGCATTCTACAAGAGTATATTTACTTAGATCCAATTCAAATTTGTTAAATTGGGTATTCTTAAGCTCCCGGATAGATTGAGCATGAGAAACAGTGAGGAAAAGAGAGAAGTGTGTGTGAGAGATGGGAATAAAATAAAAAAGAACACAAAAGATCTAAAAAAGAAAAAAAAAAAGAAAAAAGAAAAAAGAAAAAGAAAAAAAGACGGAAAAGAAAAAGGAGGGGCAAACAAAGTTGTACAAATCAGTTGGTTACGTTAATTAACGTATACTTCCTCCCCAACGTATCATGTAAACTCACACATACACAAAGAACCCCTTGATGAATTAAGGAACACCAAGATGATATACATACAATAATTTTTGAACCTTAAAAACAAAGGGCAAACGACATTGCAAAAAATTGAAAGAAAGGGAAAAAAGTTTTATACAGCTCCCGGGCCCTTATGATGGCGATGCCCAGACCCCTGGTCTAGCAGCAGCTTCGGCTTAATATAATCTTCATCAAGCTGCCTAAACCAAGCCGCATGATCAACATCAGCACCACTGGAGAACAATTCACGGATCACGGCCGAAGCGCCCGGCTTCGACGAGGAAGAAGATCCTGCAGCTCCTTGCGATGCCTCTGCCAGAGCACCCGAACCCATCCCATCGCCTCCAGCGACACCAAGAGTGGTGGCACGTGAAGGGGAGACGCGTTGCTGGGCGGATGTCGCAGTTTGCGTATTCACTGAAGATACCGGCTCCCCTGATGCCTGTACCCTGCTGCCACTGCCCGGGGCAGCTGGAGGAAGATCATCATCCGAGAACGCGTCAAGGTCTAACTCGAAGTCATCGATATCCGCGTCGTTCTCCTGTGTGCCGCCGCTGACGGTACGCGTCGCGGGACGTTTTGAGACGGCAGGGTTTCTGTTCAATGATGAAAATCCCCCCACGTCTCCATCATCAGCACTGCTGCTGCTGGGACTCCCGTCTTTACTCCCAGCGTGACTTGCAAGTAGATTCTGTGTAGATGTATGGGTCACGTGACCGCTCGTGACGGCCAGGGCCGTACACTGCGTTTTTCCTGGCGGCGATGGATCCTTGGGTCCGCTGTGGTGCAATGCGGCCGTTGTTGCCGCTCGAGTAGCCTTCTGCGACGTCTTCACGGTCTAGGTTCATAGTATCCAGGGGTACGGTGTGTCCGTTGCGCCTTGGGATGTGGCCAACGCCAGTTCCATCGTGTTTGTAGTACGTTCCTCCAGCAGTGATCTCAATATCAAATTCATCATCGGAGTCAATTTCCTCGACGACGCCGGTGCGGATTTCGAGAATCTCAAGCATTCGTGCTGTTGTCCCGCCAAATATTATAACTGTCAGAACAACGACAACGAGAATTGTTGCTCGCAGCGCTGGGGCATTAGGTCCCTCAAGGCCGGCTGCGAGAGCCACACCGACTGCACCACGAAGACCAGCCCAGAAAAGCATGCCTTGGTAGGCAAAAGGAAGTTCGTCGGCAACCTCCCTTCCACGACGCCTAGCTCTATATCGAATGAACCAGTTGATTGCCTTTGAAAGGGGGAAGACGGACATGTATCTAGCAACACAAATCCCAACCACTGCTATCATGATGAAAAGCGGTTTGAACTCTAAATTAGGTTCCGTGAACAAGTCCAGGCCGAGGTAGATAAAAATAAAATTCTCCGATAATTGTGCCAGTACTTGAAAAAGATATTTCGTTGTGAGTTGCGTCCTACGCGACATGTTATAGTACGCGTAATGCTTCAATGTGATGCCACAGAATAGCAACGACACGATCCCTATCCGGATATGGCGGTTAGCCAACATTTAACGAAAAAAACTCACACAAGTGCTTTTCTAAACTCGCGAGGAAAAAAAAAAAAGGCAGGGCATAAAAAACATACCGGACAAATGAACTCCCGTCGAGAAGAAGTAACTGGCATAAGCAATCAAGACGATGAGACAGCTCTCGATCTTAGGTTCTCTCCGCACATGGGTGTATTTCAAACCCAAGGCGGTCAATATACCAACAGCCACCCCGATCACCAAGCTTCCAAAAAACACGAGCAAGAACACACCAACTGCCTCAAATAAACTAAGCAGCGTCAGCGATCCCGCGGCATTGCCGGGCTTATATCTCTGCGCCGTTTCAAAAAGCACGATAGCAATCGCATCGTTCAAAATCGACTCCCCGAATATCACAGTATAAAGCTTAGGTTCGACCTTGTATACGTTGAAGATAGCGAGAATGGTGACGGGGTCCGTTGCCGAGAGCGTAGCTCCGACTGAAAATGCTTCGACAAACGATATCGATAATCCGTCCAGGGGAATCACGGACCACAAGTATAAAATGAGACCCAAGACCAGCGCGGAAATAAATGTGCCCACAAAAGCAAATGTGAGGATCGTTCCGATATTTCGGAAGAAATTTGCCTACTCGCTGTAATTAGCAAAATGATTCCAGGTTTTTCTCATGTAGGTTAGAGGCCTGCGGCAAAAGCTTACCTGATGTAACTCATAACCAGATGCCAAAATAATTGGAGGAAGAAGAAGATTGAAGAAAAATTGGTAATTGAATGAAACTGAAGATTGTATTATGGTTCCCGGGGTTAATCGAATAATCAAACCAACCACCATTCCTAATACAGCGGCACCAGCATTAGCAAAACATTGTCATTCCGAATTAAATACAGACCTTACATTGTCCACAGGACGAGAAGCCACACAAACTTACCAGCGAAAATTGAAATAACGGTCTCATGCACCGCCTGAACTTTCTTCTGCTGTAGGATGTAGCTCGTAAAAAGGGCCGTTATTAGGAGCATGATCAGGATGAAAAGAGCCCATGATGCAAAGAGCTCTTTCTCGCCAGCTTCCGGCGACTCTGCATACGGTTCGAATACCCAACGTTAGCAAGCCAGCCAAAATAGGACATCTGCATGTGTGATTGGATTTTGAAGGGAGTCCCGCGAAAATCAGGACACAAGAGTTGCAACGGAGAAAAACAACAGGAGACCAGGAGAAATTATGGAGGAGGGGGATGTTATATAACGAACCGTCAGGGTCACTATCATCCTCCGCTCTCTTCCCTGTAGATGCAAAAGCTGGTTAGCAAGATATATACGTAGTTATGGATATCATCCAAACCCGCCGGGGCAGCAACGTAAGAAACTAGAGTATGGACCTACGCAAAACATCAACCAGCACCTCTCTCACAAACTCCGCCATTGCGACGACGAAGTCAACGTCAACAACTTTCCCCCACCTCTTAAACCTATACCACTCTCCTGAACGGGTTTTATATTTGATTTTTTCCCTTCTTTTACCCTCTTTTCCTTCTTGGATACTGTGGCGTATCCTCGATCCTAGCTTTTATATTTTCCACTGAGGCTGTCAAGCCAGCCGTTTGTTACTGTCTCTCTTTCCTCTCCCCGTTCAGCTTCCACAGCTACCACTACTCCGACGAGCGGTGGAATCCGGCAGAACGAAATGACGACGAAGACGAGCTCTGGGGGCAAGTCGATTCCGGGCGCCGCGGACAGCACTCATAATAAGCAATACACAACTACCGGCAAATGATACCGAGCGATGTTCCCAGCAGCAGGCGACGAGGTTTGTGAATACGTATGACAGCGGCGGGTGGAGAGATGGGTGGGCAAAGGACTGAAAGGGAGATTAGGTAGGTTTGGAGCGATGGAAGTGGAGTTTAGGAGCTGTTGTTTCCGGGGGTGACAAGGCCGGCTTAAAGCTAGGTGGACTGCCCCGTATACATGCAACTAGAGCGGGTGAGGGAACGAGGGGAGTTGAGCGAGCGCAAACCAACTGAACGCTGATGAAGCTCTTGTTCGTTCCGATCCTTCCTTTGGTATACCCGTCTGGCTCATCTGGGTCTCGAAAAGGAGAGGATGACCGACGGTATTGTTGGTGGTTTGTAGTTGGTGGTCTTGGTCGCGGCGGTGCTTATTCTTTGACAGTTGTAATACTGGCTAACTGCATCTTTCCCAATTCGGTGAGGCTGGGTGCCGCTTTTAAGCCCAAACTCTTATCAATTTATTACCAATGCAGAGATCACCAGGGAATCGCTGGACTGTATACACATATGCAACTGTTCTCGAATGTATTCACCGTACAACCCATTGTCCCGATATGTCCAATAGAAACCAAATTGGAAAGAGAAATTAGAAAAGACAAGGGAAATGCCAAAAAAAAGAAGAAAAGAAGAAAGAAAAAGGAAAAAAGACAAAAAGAAGAAGCCGCCCTCCCGCTCATACAGCATCCCTATTCTTCCACAACCCGACTTTCGAACCCGCGCTACCCCCTTCCGCCAGCCTCTTCGTGACAACCGCCGCCCCAATTGTCACAAGCCCACCAAACCTCATAACCCACCCCACAGAATCATCCCAAGGCTCTCCACGCGGCTTCTGCAGGGCGTTGAAGATAGCACTACTAACCAAAGTCGAAAGGATTTGCGGAAAGGATATCGCCACATTGTGGATGCCAAGTATCACGCCGGCTTCGTCGGTTGTGTCGACCTCGCCGTCGTCTGCTGATTCATTGTCATCTTCGTTGTCCTCTTCTCTCTCATCGACGATAAGATTATCGCCATCTTCGTCGTTGCGATGGGAGCTCTCCTCGTTGTTTTGTTCGTTTTTGCCATCTTGGCCATGGGCGGTGGCGACAGGGGTTGGCAGGGATGTTGACGCGGTGGAATGATACGAAAGACCGGGAGTTCCATAATCCCCTTCTACTGCCATATGAGCATCGCTACGATCCTCCTGGCGAGCGACAACAGCTTGTTGTTGTTGTTCCCGCCGCCGCGATCGGGGCAACAGACCATCGCTAGAATCGCGTCTCATGTGTAGCAACCGATATCTCCTCCGGCGTTTTTTTGCATCACTTTTTGCCACCTCCGCCGATATAAGGGCAAACGGCGCCCAAAGAGTCATTGCCCATGAGATACCAACGACAGACACGACGACCGTTCCAGCCTGTGGAGTTTTAATGAAAAAGGTGCTGAACATACAAATGGTAAATAGGATGTGGGACATGAGCCAAGCGCGTCGGAGGGTGAAACCCGGTATCTGCAGGTGGGAGAGAAGAGATGGTGATTCCCTCTCAGTTAGCTCAAGTGGTTTACTTAGTTGTGGTGGTGGTGGTGGTGGTGGTGGTGGTGGTAGCGGTAACACAGCAGATGAAACGGTGATGGATATGGTTGATGCTGACTCTCTGCGAGATAGGTATGGGTGCTGCCGGGTGGGTGAGGCAACAGACTTCGGGGTTAAAATCGCCGGTCGATATGTCGGCACGACTAGAAGTGGAAGAATGATGCTCGCTGCAAATGATATAATCGCGTAGATCAACAGTGCAAAGGTGCCCACCCGAGTAGCCGCTACCCACGCCTCGTCAATATCCTCAGGCGGTAGGTGTGGGCGTTCCTCAAATATCGGATTAACGTACAGCTGCCCGATGTAAGTAGTGCTGTAAAACAAGAATGGGAACCACCCGACCCATGCGAAAAGTTGGACCTCGCATACTTTGCGGATTTGGGGCGGCAAGGTGCGGATGGAATGGAAAACTTGCTTGAAAAAAGCGATAACTCCAGGATTATCTGATGACGGGGGGCCTTCCAGTCGTGGATCCCGCTCGGTGATGAATAGGCAGCTAATCAAAAGCGTAATGCCCAGCGATAGGGACGCAATCATACAGAGTACTTGGAATTGCGTCTTCCCGAAAAAGGGAAGTATTTTGGGTAGATCAAGATAGCCCGAAATATATCCCAGGATATTGCCAATACCAG